TATGTGTTAATGTGCCAAAGCGGTTTTGAAGCTTTAGACATAGCCCGTCAGTGTGCATCTCCATGAGTGTGTCACACCGGCGGCCCTGCTCGAGGATCGAGAAAAGGGGGAGGAGTCATTTTTTGCATTTGTACCTCTGCACTGGAAGGTTCCCTTGTATTTACAGCAATAGATGTTACTGTTACCATTGGCGAACTCACTGCTAGTGAGTTTGTCTTTTAGGGACGGGCAGCCTCGATATGAGATAGCGGGTTTGGCATTTAGAAATTTAGAAATTCTACCATCTTTGGTCAAGCAGTGCCAGTGCTTTTCCAAAATTCGTGATATCTCATTGTGCTGGCTATTAAAGGTCAATATCAATCTCACCAAGGGGTTTTCTCTTTCATTTGCTTTAAATTTAAGTGTAGTATTTTTGCTGTTTTTCTTGTCAGCACAGAAACCTTTAGATCCACCCTTGGCTCGTTGGTATGACCTTTTCAGGACTTTATTTGTATACCCCCTAGCTCGTAGTCTCATCCTCAGACTCTGGGCCTCCTTTTCAAAGTCAGCATCAATGCTGTATGCTGTTCTTCAGGCTCTGAGGATGAGCACTAGTTGCCTCTAGGATAGCGTTACCTGCCGTGTCTTTCCTGTATAGACTGGTGTACAGGATCCCCCCACTATCCTTGCACACCAGAATATCGAGGAAAGGTAGTCTGTTGGGGTCGCTAGTCATGGTGAACCGTAAATTATAGGTGTTGAAATTTAAGATGTCCACAAAGTCTTTCAGTAGTTCCTCCCCTCCCGTCCAGAGCATCAGGATATCATCTATGTATCTGTGCCAGGATTTTTTAATTGGATTTGTAGGGAAAATGTGTGAACTCTACGTGAAAGTTGTGTGAAAACATTATAAACAGACCCATTTGTAATTCATTTCTATAAAATCTTCTTATTGCATGCATTAGTAGCACTACTGATTTAAGACCAATTCCCTGGGTTTAGCTGCAGGGAGATATTAATACAAAATATAGAAATATAGAATTAGAAAAAATAATTCTGAATATTTAAAATCTTTTACAATCTCTAACGACCAAAGATAACAGTGTATAAGTTGGGGACATTTTCTTGTGACACTAAACTCAGGAGTTAAACCTTAAAAATTAAAGTATCTTAAAAGAGAACTATGGGGTAAGTGTTTTCCCCATAGTTCTCCTTAGGGTCACGGGAGGTCTCCCATGACCCAAAACTCAGTTTATGGTGGGCTATTGCCCGCCATATACTGAGAGCGCAGCAGCTGGGGATGGATCCTGACAATACTGTTGAGATCCACCCAGCTGCATGATTGTCAGTAGTCTCTGCCTATCTATAGGCAGAGCCATCTGTGCCCACCCTCTCCCCCGTCCTTTCCTTCACTCAGCACTGGAGGATCGGAGAGGGGAGGGGGGATCCCTGCAGGGAGATGATCGTAAAGTGAGTGTTTTCTTCCCCATGGTCCCTGTTTGTGTTGTAAAGTAGCCACCGCTGCAAGCTTGCTCCCATAATGGACTGCAATCTCATGTTTAGTTTATTTATTTGTATTGAGATTGGAGCAAGCTTGGGGCAGTGGCTACTTTACAACACACACACACAGACCATAGGGGGGAAAAAAGTATCCACCCTCCAGAAGAAAGGACAGTGTCAGCACAAATTCAGAGATGATTTGAGGATCTAGAGCTGAGTGATACACAAATAAGATACATTTTTGTTAATAGTTAAGGTACTTGAATGCATTTTAAGATTTAACTCCTAAGTTTGTTGTCACTTTATACTAAATCACCTGTTTTAGCCAGTAATGCACATTATTCAATTGGGTATTAAAAAACATTCTAATAGACCCTAACAAAATAAGATGATTGCTATAACATTTTTTTGGTGTCAGAATATTTTTGCTCCAAAACTTATCTTTCTTTAGCATCCTGAATAATTGCAGTACACTGCAATCAATCCTGCCTTCTACCTCTTGTCTCACATTTTTCATAGTTCATCGTATTTCATGGTCCAGTTTCCCAAAATAGTAGTTGGACTTTCCAAATGTGTAATAATGATTAATCTGGAAGACTGACCCATCCCCTTTGCTTTTCATCTGCACAGACACACTGTAATTGCAGAATTGTGTATATGTATATTTGCTCTCTGCGGTTACTCGGTCTAAAAAGTATTTAAATAAAGATGTTCTGCACTGCAGCTTTGCAGAGTGTAAATGAATCTATCCCTATCTAAAAAAGCTCTACAAAAAAGCAAAGCACAGCAATTTACAGCATCCAGTCAGATTTAACCTTTTTCTAATGTTGAACAGTCAATTAAAAATGATTGCTTATGTTTAAATGATACTTTTCTCAGTGATTTGTACCTTATTAAATACATCTGCTTATTTCAATTATGGGGGTTATGAATGAAAATGCTTTCCTCTTTGACACTGTAAATCCCCTTTTTATTTTTCTCTGCTACACATAAACTATTCATTCAAATCCATCTCCACTGCAGTGCAACCTGTGACTGGTAACTGATTGAGAAGGAAAGGCATTCATCAAAATGTCTTAAATTAAAAAACAATCCCAAGGACAGCGGATAAACAATGTAAAAGTGAAATCAATGGATCTATTCTAATTAATGTTGATTCAAAAAACATCAAACAGGCTATCTACATCTGAAGTGTAGTGAATAATTCAATTACAATTTATTGCAGACATATATAGGCCAAGAGAAAGTCAGTTATATATTGCAAGAAGCCAGCTAATTTCATGCATTATTGTACTAACCTTCTCTGTGTTTACATACTATGAAGTATATTTATTTAGTTTAGTCACACGTCCACCAAGGACTTAACTTAAAAGGACAAGTGCAACATGCAAAGTGCAGGTACCAGGGGTAACCAATCAGAAGTCATCTTTCAATATTTTGGCTATTTAAAACTGAAGAAAAGTGAAATATGTGTGGTTGCGAAAGGTAAAATATATCCTGGCATTTATATAAATCAGTTGGTGAGGGTGTTCTCCACACACCTTACAGCAATCCCGGCCAGTAAGAACGATGTTGCTTGTAGTAACGACCACGGATGGCACCGTGCAAAGTACGAAATGAAAAGACAGGTCACCAGCACTCAAATAATTTAAATAGGTATGTCCTTTTTAATGGACAATTGTGTCACTATAATCAACAAAGCCGGTCACATCTTTCTGCCTTGAAGAAGGGACCCTGCGCGGCCCCGAAACATCGGCTTTGTTGATTATCGTGACACAATTGTCCATTAAAAAGGACATACCTATTTAAATTATTTGAGTGCTGGTGACCTGTCTTTTCATTTATATAAATCACACATCCTTCAATATGTTTTGTATGATTTACTGGATTCTGTTGCTGTGCTAGCAATGAGAATGGTGATGGTGATGGTGATGATGATGATGATAGCTAAATATGGCAGTGAAGCACACCTTAGTCCATGGAATGTCATTCTAGCTATATTATAATGTGCCATTGGTGGTAATCTAACATAGGGCCATGCAGAATCTTGCTCGCCAGAAAGGGAGCATCAACAGGGCGACACCTCACTGGTAGAGCCAGCAGGAGAGCAATGCCTAAGGTGCAGATGAGTGCTCTCTTGATAGATCCAGTTGCTGGCAAATTGCCATCAGTGACAGGATTGCTAGTGTGACATGGCCCATAGATTTATAATGAAAAACATTCAAAAATTACCAGTATAAAAAAGCAGAGATGGAACAGCTTTAAGATAGGTAGATATAAGATGATAGATAGATAGAATATTGATTATTTCAGTCAAAGTCAAAACCTTCTATCTCCAGCCACATATTTCCATCTGCTATCTAGTGGTTATGATTAGCATAATGAATCATAGAGAACAGAGAAGTTAAAAATATATTATGTCTTCACACAGAAGCTGACACGATCTGAATTTTAAGATGATGGGGAAAACGGGCTTTTGTCCCATACTGTTAACGTGCTCTATACCCACACAGATCCCTGCCTTGGTTTATGATTCTCTTCCTTTGTGCTTGAAGACCTTTCAGTCTTGCTTATGTGTCTATTTTGTTTCACCTTTCTTCACAGCTATTTGCCACAGTAATTCCCCGAATATGCTATTAAGACATCCATTCCACTTATTAATTTCAGTGTTCCACTTTTACTCCTCCACCCCCTGTCTGTGGTAATTATCACCCAGCACAAGGATAACCTAGAAAATGTAAGCAAACATACAAACACACTATAGTCCTCTCTCCTCTGCTGTGGCTCTTAAAAACACACACAAACACACACTCTCGCTCTCTCTCTCTCTTCAGTCCCCTTTTCTCTGCCATCGCTCCTAAAACCTTTGCTAATGTTGGAGCTATGAAAATGATAAAGGGTGTGCATGGAAACACTAGCTCATTGCAGAATGCACAACGCCTTTAAACGAAACGAGTTTAACCTAAATATACACACATATACTGAGCAGGTGGATCGTGTGCTCCCTAGCACCAGCCCAAGAGGCTGCTTCTTGGCTACAGAGTCAAATTCTACAATACGTACAAGATGCATCTGAACCAGATATCCACGACTGCAAATCAGACCAGATTTCTGCAGCTGCCGTATGGCTGGTGTATTTGTTTATATCACAGTTAGCCTATGAATAAATCGAACATAAATGTAGAGGTGTTGCTCAGGCGAAACAGACCTTATCACACCTTGATGCAATACTATCATTTAAAATGCATTCATAATTACATATTTACAAGACATGCTTCGATGTCTCTGTCGTATGCAATCCAAAGCTTTGTCACAACACAGCTACAATAACTGACTTATTTGTGCTTTGTAGTCCAACCTCTGCCTTTAGTAAGTAGTGGACAGCGTCAGGTGCTGAACGCGACCAATTGAACGCTGCAGTTTGCGCAGGATCCACTGCTGGAAAACGGATAATACAGTTACATAGAACAATAAGAGTTGACCTAATATAGAATGGGTAAAGGGCTTTAAGGGCGACCAACCTTGACATGTTTTCCCTCTGAGGTCTGTGCGCTTTCTCCAGTCCAAGTTTGGTGAATATTCCAACGAGGACCATCACAGCTACAACTCCACATATGATGTAAACAATTAAATTGGTTTTATCCCTTGTAGGGTCGTGTAAGGGGTCGTCAATCTTTGGGGGTGTCTTTCCTGGCTGCAGCCAAATAGGTCTGTCATAGTTCGTGCAGATGCTCTGATCCAGTTTTGCCTCTTTGAACTGACAGCAGTACCTAAAGCCGCAAGTACCACAGCAATAAAGAAAATCCCTTGAGCTGCAGTTAAAAGGAGGGTCCCATTGCCCCATGACATCAAAATACCCCCTGCATCCCTCAGCAGTCTGAGGAGGTTCAGAAGACTCCAGATCTCCAGGGTTGGACAGATTGACGTCGGAAACCACTTCAGTGCTCCCAAAGTGAGGTCCACCTTTTACCTGTGCACAACACAGGAAAGTAAACACATCCGCTAAGAAGTAATACATCATTGCCCTAAAACCTTTCATGATAAGTAGTTTCCTTCTTCGGTGTTGATATGGAAGATTCAAAGTAGCAAAATACAACCATTAAGAGCAGAAGACAGAAAAGCTCAGCACATCAGTCCAGGTCCATCATCAGTCCTAGATCTGATCACTGCAGTCAACACCAAGGAGGTGTGAGAATCCTTTCTTTCCTTGCAGTGATCTCCGCCGGTATCTCTGCAGCAGCATTAACTCATCTGCACTTGTGGAATCGAGGAGAGCAGCGGGGATTCTGGACTGTTAGAGTAGCGTAAAGAGAGTGAGAGAAGAGTGAGGGGGAAAGAGGGGAGAGAGAAAGGGAGAAAAGATAGGAAGAGAAAGGAGGAGGAGAAGGGGGAGGAATACATATAGGAGGAGTCGGGGTTGAGGGAGGGATGACATGAGTCGTGAGCAAAGAGGGAGCGCTTCCAAAAGATGAGAAGATGTTTTAAATGAGTGCTTTGTGAGCAGCACAATATCCTGTTATTTTCTTACTTTCAAGCACGCACAAGCAGAAATGGCACACGAGATACACAACAAAGTTGTTGTTTTTTTCTGCACAGTTAATAGTACCATTGCATTGCCCTAGAAAGAGACTTGTACTGCAAGTGTTACGTTCACGTTAGACACATTTATCATTATCTTTACAGCCAGACAAACTAGTAATTGGAAACTAGCACTGTAAAGCAGTTGTTCCACCACAAGCATCTAAAAGGTGTGATCTTGCTCCATTCTGTAACCACATTAATGATAAGCTTCACATAGGAATATCTATTATGAATGATTACTCTTATTTTTCTGCCTGTTGATAATTACGGTTGAGTCTTGCGTTCAACGTAAACCCAGTCTGTATGAGGTTCAGCAAATCGCTAAACAAACTGGCTATATTTGACCAGTTTACCCGCTCAAATCCTTGGGTGATATATTTGGTCAATGATGTCACCTAGTATCTCCGGCTACTTTGATTTACTTTCCAGGTGCTCTGGCGATTCTGTCATTTGTGACAGGAGTAGTGACAGGGCCACATCATTATGCGGCAGGCCACATCATCATCGGGTGGAGAGACATCGTGACTGACAATGAATCTACATTGTTGGATGATGTGATTGATGATGGATTTATTTTTATGTTTTTTAACTTCTAAAGGGACAGTACACATTAATAAAGGAAACATATGGCTTGGTATTCCTCTTAAAAGTCTAACCAGGGCCTTATCCATATATGCTACATGGGGAAACATTAAAGGGAAGGCAGCAAGCATTCAGACTCCCCCCTCCCCCCCCCCCCCACCACCACCACCACCACCATCACCATCACCACCACCATCACCACCACCATCAAACCACACCAGGCCACATGCCTTTCAACATAGGGTGTATTTTGCAAGGGAGATGTACATCCAACGTTGTTCACAATGATCCACCATCTGACAATTCTACCCATTGCCACATCAACATGCTACCCAAGAATGCTGCCTTCGCTGTACTACCTCTGCTAACTGACAGGCCCTTGGCACTGCTGAAATGTAAACAGTGGCAGGCATTACTGCCCAAATAGACCATATTTGCTCAATGACATCACCCAGGATTTCCAGCTCTGTTGTTTACAAACAGAAGCTGGGGATCTGTTATTTAGCAGTGATAATGATGCAGAGCAACATCATTGGTTGGGTAGCAGGTCGTTGTGATTGACAATGGCTCTACATTGCAGGAGGACATACTGTCAGGGCCGTCTTTAATACTGATTGGACCCTGGGCAAACAATTTCTTGGGCCCCCCCCCCGGCCCTAACAGCAGCATACGGAAGAGGTGGGGGCAACACTATGTGATGCCGAACGCATAGTAAACAGAATGGTGCTGCAAGGGTTGCTGCCTTTTCTTCAAGCGAATCCCGAACAGTCTAACACCACACTGCAACTTTTTTTAGAATAAACAAGAGAGAACGAGGAGAGACAGACATGGGAGAGAACGAGGAGAGACAGCCAGGGGAGAGAGCGGGGAGAGACAGCAAGGGGAGAGAGAAGAGAATGAGGCGAGACAGCCAGGAGAGAGACAGCCAGAATAGAGAGAGAGGAGAGACAGCTAGGAGAGAGAGTGAGGAGAGACAGCCAGGGGAGAGAGAGAAAAGAGACAGCAAGGATTGAGAGAGAAGAGACATCCAGGGAGGAGAGCGAGGAGAGACAGCCAGGGGAGAGAGCAGGGAGAGACAGCCAGAATAGAGTGAGAAGAGACAGCCAGGAGAGAGAGCGAGAAGAGACAGACAGGGGAGAGAGCAAAGAGAGATAGCCAGGAGAAAGATTGAGGAAAGACAGCCAGGAGAGAGAGTGAGAAGAGACAGGCAGGGGAGAGAGCAAAGAGAGACGGCCAGGAGAAAGATTGAGGAAAGACAGCCAGGAGAGAGAGCGAGAAGAGACAGACAGGGGAGAGAGCAAAGAGAGATTATAGTACTTGTACATATAGAGTGCCTGCAACAATACATTTACAGATATCCTCTGCTAACATGAATGGGTTAAATGATCCCTAGTACAGGGCAACATATAGATCATTTAATCCATTCATGTTAGCAGAGTATAATTATAAATGTATTGTCTGCACTGTATGAACAGTGTATACTCTATATGTACTCTATATTTAGTACATATAGAGTATATACTGCTAATACATCTAATACAGTGCAGATAATACATTTGCAATTAAACTCTGCAGCATAATAGTGTCCCCCCCCCCTTGCCCTCACTCACTGTGCCGGAGAGAGCAGCGACGAGTCAGCGCTGGTCCAGTGGGAGGAGCTCCAGGTGGGGTCCTAATTTAGCTGGCTCAGAGGTGCCTGCCAGCTAAAGTAGAATCCCACCTGTAGCTCCTCTCGCCGGACCAGCGCTGACTTGCCGCTGCAGGTTTTTTTTTCTTTTCTTACTTACCTCACCGAGCGTCGCGTCACTGCTGCTCCTGTGGGCGGCGCTCCAAACGGGGTCATCTGGCAGTCTCCGGCCACCTAAATTAGGACAGAGACTGCCAGATGACCCCGCTTGGAGCTCCGCCCACGGAGCAGCAGTGACGTGACACGACGCTCGGCGAGGTAAGTAAGAAAAAAAACAAAACAGCGCAAGCTTCGGCGCTAGGCATCGGGGCATTTTGACAAGTACAACTACTTGTCAAAATGCCTTGTATCGGGCCCGATTCCGATGCTAGCATCGGTATCGGGACATCCCTATTAATATGTATTTATTCACCATAGGGTGATTCTGCGTATTTATATATTTCTGTATTTACTTCACATGTAGATTATCATTAGATTGCACATGTAGTTGGTCTCTATAGCGCAGGGCATGTTTATAATTCACGTTTTTTAGGTGTTATATACAGTTTTTTAGCATGGCAGCTTAGGGGTTTGTTGTTCCATAGCACAGATCCTGTTTGTAATATTATCTATAGGTGCATCCCTAGTATTGAGAGTATAGGAAGCTTTGCTGCAGCCATACATAGAACTTGATAATGACATTTTCTTTATAAAAACTCTATCCTGCTTCAGCATCATAGATTGAACTAGAGAAGCAATGTCAGGAACCTGCTCTGCATATGTATATGTTGCACACAGTATATGTATCTGTTGCATACATAAACTGTGGCATATTTGGGCACTTACTTGGTGTGAAGGTCCTGAGAGGGGAGGCAGGAGGGGACACATTGGGGGTGACATCTCAGGGCACGGTGTGGGCTCCCAGCAGGGCCCCAGACAACACAGGAGAGCAGAGTACAGAGAGCGGGAGGTGGGGCCGAGTTGATAGTGGGCGGAGCCCAGAGCCACGTCTATGCTGCTGTATGTAGCCTCCTGTCTGTAGAGCACCGATGCTGTGTACACAGACAGGGGGCAGGGCTGGTGCAAGCCTCATTGCCTACACAGGTGAGGCTGCCAGCCCTGCATGTGTTTATCTTATGTGGGCTGAAGGGGCAGCTGCTTTGGGCCCCACAACAATGATTGGGCCCGGGGCGACTGCCCCTTTTGCCCTGCGTTAAAGACGGCCCTGCATACTGTAATTATCAATAGATTGAAAGCCATGTGGCCTGGTTTGGTACAGGAAGGGGAGAACAAACTTGCATGCCTGGTTAAGAGCCAGACAGAAGTTTTAACGTTTAACAACGTTGTTGTTGTTGTTGTTTAAATGTCACGTTTAAAGGACTACTTTGTATGGCTCCATAACTTAATTTGCAAGCATGTTATTTAAAGGTTTTTGTATATTTTAAATGGTGTCATGTAAGCCACCTGTAAAGACCCTCTTGCAAAAATGTTTAAAAAAAGATTCTTTCATTAGAACATGTCCCCCATAGCAGTGCCCAGATACCCATGCCCCTTTTTAACTATAGCTTGCAAATTAGCCTTGAACAAGTCCAGAAACAAATTCACTGACATCTCACAGGGTTTAACAAGCCTTTCTGCAAACTGAACTTAGCCTGATTCGCTCATTCCAATTGTTATTCAGCTCCAGTCTTTCCAGGTGCCTCAGGCATTTAGAAATAACAGGCTTACCTACCTGCCATATCAAAATCAGCCACTAGATGGAGCTGAAGGAAAATGTCTTGCTTACAGGGGTTTCAGTAGTGTTTTTTTCTTTAATAAACTCTCAACATTCCTTCAGCTGAAAGAGAAGGAAACAAGTGTCTTGGGAGCTCAGCCTCCATTTCAGGACTGTGAAGAAAAGTACAGGGATAGCCCCACTGCAAGGGTTAATAAAAGTTTTCCCCAGAGTTCTTCATTAAGGACACATATTTGTAGGTTTATAAATTGTATCCTCCCTACACAAAAGCAAATGTGCTTACACTTAACTGTGTGGAGTTACCCCTGAGGTTGTAAAGCAGATGCACTCTCATCATTAGAAGAAGAGGATTAAACAAACAGAAAGAGAATCTAATTGCAATAGCTAACTTTCTGAAATTAAAATATTCAGGAATAATTCTAATAAAATACAGATTATCATCTCTGCTTTGTTGATTTCTATGCCTGCTGTTTAAAAATAAAAATACAGTGATACCTTGGTTTACGAGCATAATTCGTTCCGGAAGCATGCTTGTAATCCAAAGCGCTTGTATATCAAAGCGAATTTCCCCATAGGAAATAATGGAAATTCAGATGATTCGTTCCACATCCCAAAAATATTCATATAAAATGATTACAATACTGTACTGTAATATAATAACGTATAAAATATAAAGAAAAATTAACCAATTTCCAGTACCTTTTGTGGCCGGTGTGAGAGGGACAAGAGAGAGGAGGATT